GTGTGTCTTGGAATCCGTGAAGGAGCAGTAGCGTTCGACTCGGCCATCAATGATTGCTAGTTAGTTGTCTCGTTGCGCACAGGGTCTCTTCTGGTCACTTCTCACCTTGGTATGTACGCTTTTCGTCTAGCATTATGTCGTAAAAGTCTTACGTCAGTCACATTGTAAGACAGGGTCGTGTCAACTCAACTTTAACAGAACGAAACAACGAAATTATGAGTCAGGGGATGAGAACGCCTCTGTGTCAGTGGAACGGCATCAGTGACCCAGACGCGTACAGATTCCTCCATCATCCCGTTTTCAACCCATTCCTCAACCTACCTGCATCAAAATAAGTCCCCTACTAGTTCCTATCGAGAAACCTAACCTCCACCCAGCAGCTATCCAGGTATGTACGTAAGGGTACCATGTCCAATGGCAATCACAAAGATACATGCATCTCTGTTTGCATCCGACCTCTCTGTTTTGCAAGATTCCCACCAAAAGACCGATCAAGTTAATTTCCGCAGATCTGACAGAGAAGAGGAATACCTCTTGTTCCTCTTCTGCTGTCAAGTTCTGAATGAGTGGCTCCAACTGGCCTGTTTTGATGTTGAGGATCTGAAAAACGAAAAGATGGCATCGTTAGCTGGGGAGATTCGAAGGCTTCAAACTAACTTGGAACATATTTCCGAGTTTAATATGGTCATCAAGGATTTTACTCCATCCATGGATATCCATATACCCGTCACCATCGAAATCTACGCTCTTGAACCAGTCTCTAACTTGCTTTGAGTCGGCTTTGACGCCGAAGTCCTGAATTGGTACGAGATTAATTATTCAAAAAGTTGTCAGATATTTTGGAAGAATTGCATATGGATGAACCAGGATTGTTAGAAGACACACTGTAAGCGAAATTTGCTAGCAAAGACTTTTGAAATCTAAGAAAATCAACTTACTTGTAGCTTCTTGACCAGTTCTTCTTCACTGAGACGAGAGAATTGGATCTTCTCGGCACCACTCAGAGTTTTGAAGAAATTATGAGTTTGAGCTATTGACTCTACAATTAGGAGTTATTTGAAGAAAAGCCACTAGGTGAAAATATGTAGTGGTCGGAGGGGGAGGGTGGACCCAACTCTAGCACTAGGCCTCTGAGCGCAGAGACGGAGGGATGACTAAATTCGCGAGCCAATGATGGTGTGTAGGAACTCAAAAGGGGGAATATACTTTTTTACGTCAAGCTCATGAGGGAAGGAGCAATTGAACGCCAATCTTTTCCATTTCTCCACCAATACCAGCTTTTTGCAGGATATAAACATCACACCTATCCCGGTGCTCCTCTACTCCTGAAACACTTCTTCCATGAACTAAAAACTATTTCGGAGCATAGGTAATGGCCCCTTTTTTGCGTTGTAGCACTCAGTTCTACAAACGAGGTTTGTCCCCTGTTATGAGACATCTCACCAACTGCCTAAACGAAATTCTAACTTCTTCGGTGAGGATCTTTTTTACTTCGCAAAAATCTGTAATGTCCTTTCTGCTGGTATAGAGACTTTGCTCAGCATCATTCACCATGTAATTACTATAAGAAACCCAGCCGTCTCACTTCACGGCTACACTCTCGACTCTCTCAGTTTAAGCCCCGCGCAGAAAAATTTCTAATACACTTTCTGTTTTTACCTGAAAGTTTCAACAGTAGCGTTGGTCTGCCCAGAGCGGTGGCTTTGATCGCGGCAAAGCCTTCGCCATGAGTCACCTTGGCCACTGCATCGATGGTCTCCATGAAAATGTCGCGATTACGATCACACGTCTCTTCTCCTTCGTAGAAATAGGTCCTAAACATCGTCGGTGAAATCGCTGAACTGGAACGATCTTTGAGTTTCTGTTACACTACATGTTAGGTAATGGGTAAATAGGATAAGTCGACTATGGAAGCTTCTTTGTGCACTGGCTTCTACTAGAACACTGCAAGAGCCTGAATATTAGTAAAGGTTCTTAGAAAAGAACCTAATACCCTTAGAAAATACATCCTGGTGGTGAGAGCTGACCGGTGGCGCTTTTGTGGAACGGTGTCCTTAACCTGTCATGGTACGACGCATCGAAAAGACCCTCCAGCAGAGGAACACGGGGGTAGATGAACTACCCCAGGGCTGCTTCGCATCACAACCACTCATTCGAAAAAGAACGCGCAGGTGGGTTATTTAAAGAGCCGGATTTTCGTAGAAGTTCCCGCTTCGATTTCTGGAGCAACTGGGATAGTATGTAGCAATGACTGTAAGCGGTGGAGTCCGCGGGCTCTTCCGGAAGTTTATTGGTTAGGTTAGTGGGAAGAACTAAGGTTAGAAGGTAGCCTTCATCGTGACTGTGTGTTTGACTCTTATGAGAGAAGGGAAAAAGCTGCTCCCCTTTGCCGTCCGTTTCAACAGAGCTACCCATTAGCGGGGACCGAACATTGGAAACCGCGTCAAGACCGCTCATTTCTGCACATTGTCCTCGAGCGCACATCAGAAGACCGCAGCGATTACAAAGGATTACTATTATTAGTATTAGGATTACCAGAGATTCGCATCCTTCAGAGTAGAGCGCAGAGCGTTGAGCGCTGAGCGTAGAGCGTTGGTATTCAAAGGTTGATAGATGAGTTAGTATGGTATTATGTGACTAAAGTTTATCGCTATGGAATCGCTCTACGCAGCTCTGCTTGGAAAATAACATGCTCCGATGCGGAAGCCGATGCGGCCTACGAGTGCTCGAGGCTCGTCGCTCAACACTCAATGCTCAACGCTCAACGCTCAACGCTCAACGCAGTGCTCTGGAAACGCCGATGACGTTGATGTCGCCCTTTCCCTTACTCTGGTCACAACGTACTACTGAACAGAATCTTCTCAACCCATTAGTGTTGCGTGGGGGTGAATTTATCAGTAATTTGCAGTTGTTAGTACCCCAGAATAGCAACTGTAGAATCTACTTATGGAATTCAGTTTCACCATTGTGGCGATCGATGAATCCACATCGATTACTGAAATCATATGTCTTGAAGCTCTGAATGAGAAAACCCCGGACTAACCTGGCACCGACAACATCCTTTCGACGGTCGGCGAACTCCTCGTGAACAGCGTACTGTTTTTGAGTCCCTTGCAAAGTTTTTAGATCGATACGGCTTTTGATAGCCTGAAAAAGTTTGTGCCATTTCAAAGTCTTCGGAATAGATTTTCTTCTGTAGGGCTGAATGAAGACTGTAAGAGCAAGGGTAGGATAGTATAATAGAAACAGAAACGAGCCCCAAATTGTAGGGAAGGCGGGCAACTCAAATATCTCTTAGTGAAAATATCACCTATCTACACCAAAACGTGTGATTTTGTCAAGGTCGATGCCATTAAACCTCGAAGCCTTCTGGCCGAAACCAATTCCGTTCCTAGAATGCGCCACGCATTCGACCTTCAAACGGAATTGTAGGGTCGTATTGGCTGCGTGTGTGGCCTACACAATGAGTTGCGGTGGTCAGACGGTTTACAAGTCAGTGTATTTATCTCCCCAGACGAGTATGGAAGCAACTAACCGACCCCGGAGAGTTGAAAAGCTCGGCTGGCTCAGGTGGATATCGATTCGGGTTTCGAACCGTGACCATGCGTGTGCGATAGCGCGCCACTCGACACTACACCACCTCCGCCCGAACCTCGTCGCATTTCTCAGGGTACGGACGTCATGACACGAAAGCTTTCTGATTACTCGAAGAAGTGTGAATGATCCATTTTTTCTAGCCTGGTCCTAGTCCTAAAAGCGGGAATGCCTCAAAACCGGACCTTCGGACCCATATATGAATATGGCGTAGAATGAATCTAAGAGAATCGGCGACTTGACCGTATTTTGACTTTGAGTGATCGATAAATTCTATCGATGTACACAAAAAACCTCCATACCTCGATAGCTAGTATCGTAGCATCAAGTAATTTTTCCAAAAGCCATAATGAGGTGTATTTAAATAATTCTATCGCCAAGAATTGAATTCTTCTTTCAAGCGATAAACCATGAAATAGGAAGCTAATTTTTACGAAATCAAAGAAAAATCGGAAAAAAGATTTGTGGAGGTGAGATGTAACGCATTCTAAATCATAGGAAATAAGAATAACATGACAGAAACACTTACTGCAGGAGCGATCTCTGCTGCCAGTTGAGAAGACTTGGCCTTCTCCACCGCTTGTTCACTACTCAAATCGGATTCGACCGAATAGTCAAGAATCGATTTTACTCCGAACTGCTTCAAACGTGCCACCACGGGCTCCACCTGAAATACCCATAGAGATGTCAGCACAAAGGAAATTATCATGGAGCATATCTTCGATAAAATGATGATAAAAAAGGCTGAAGTCTCCGGTCATTGATCAATTCAGTCTAAGGGATGCGCCCCCTCACTCATCTTCTATTAAGAATCGTAGTGTCCTACTGGATGCGTATGTGGCCTGTATAGTGACTTACGGTGGCCATCCGAAGTACAAATCGGTGCTCTTACCCTCCCAGACGAGTTTGGTACCAATTAACCGACGACGGAGGGATGGAAGACTTGGTTGGCTTAGGGTCATATTGATTCGAGACTCGAACTCGTGATCGCGAGTATATGAAGTATGTCACTTGCCCCTACACCACCTCCTCACAAAGCAGAGGAACAGCAACGACGAAATATTCGTCGAGCCAATTGAGAATTAGCAGGCGAAGAATGGCGTCTTTTACCATAGTGTCACCTTCTTCTTACATTGAGTAATTTTTGTTATGTCGGTAAAAATTCAAGCAACTTTTGGAATAATTCGAAAACGTACCTCCTCACGACTTTCCCCAGCGACAAAGTGACCGAAAAATGTGCTTTTCAGCAGTTTTTTAAATAAAGTCTGTCCAAGCACCGCTCTGAGGGCGCCCAAGATTTTGTGGTTGTTTTTCACGAGTGCATCAATGCTACATAATCGAAGTACAAGAAGTGCTCGGATGATGTCGGTGTTTGTTTTGCTCTGAAAATGGAGAATTTGGAAGAAAGTTGGTTATGGAAATAGAACCTGAAAAGTAGGATCCATGGCAATGAATGGGGCTTATGGTATGATCAATGGGCAGGGATTGGACAGAAGTATTCAGAAGAGTTGGGAGTATTCGCGATGTGAGGAAGAATCCATGTATTTTGAACCCCTCCGAGACCAAGTTTTTCACTCAAAGTTTGAACTTTTGTATCACAACCCTTTCCTATCAGAAAAGCGAAACAAAGCTTTACGTGTTGATGAATCCATCTGGCTTCAACTTTCAATTTTAGTATCGCAGAAGCAGAAATTAATGATTTCTCAGTAAGCCACTTTGGAGGTCAATGCTCTCAACCTCCCAAACTGCCTGACACTATTTCAGTAACCCGAAGGGATGGATGGAGCCGAACCATATCTGCGGTAGCTGTAGACCCCGCATTTGGCTCCCTTAATAGCATTTATCGTTTAAAACTTCATTCCAAATGATCCTTGAGAGCTTTTTGCGCGAACTTTCACCAATCGCCTGGACCACCAGACCAACAGGTATCCTTTTTTTCATACCTTCGATGTTCATGCGATTGTTTTCTACTACATCCCAGGCCAAAGAGACTACAGATAATACAGATTGGTCCACTGCTATACTAGTACTCATTGCTTAATTCTGGCTCTGAATAGTGGGAGGAGAAAATTGGCAGTCTAAAAGGTTCTGGGTTTAGTTGCCAAGTCCCATTGCTCGCAGCCTAGTATTTTGCCACCATCGATTAGGCGACGGCTTTCGCCTAGGCAAAAATAATTGGGATCTCCTAATGTTTCTGCAAGTCTAAGTCCTTCACAGTTCTTGCAGTGGGTATTCCTATATCCCCAAGGAAATTCCGAGCAGCAAATGAGTTATTAGACGAAGCGTGAAGGGTTTTCCACCAATACGCCACTCAGGAGGGTATGGGTAAATTTTGATAAAACATCAATACAAAGAGAAGTATGAAGTCCTTGGAGGTAATGAATGTAAGTCTCACTTTTTTGACACTCATTTGAACTGCTACCCGTATGGAAACTCGAATCAACTGATTACCTTTACACAGGAAATTTTTGCTAGGTATCTTTATTACGTTCAGTAGAGCGTCGCCCCTTGTCGGGGCTCTTCTGGGAAACCTTTGACTTTGCAAGTTTGATGCAATTCCTGCCGCAGCCCACACGTTCAAAGCGTCAACTATTAGGCTTTAATTGCCCCTTCGTTGCCCTAGGAAAGCATTCTTCCCGTAATTCCAGGCGGCGAAAAAAGCGTAAGAGTCAGTTTGAGCACAGTTACTGCCTTACTTACCCTTTTTAGAACAAAACCGCTTTTCATTCTATAAGTACACACAAGGAGGCAGTATTATCAATGTTGAATCCAGGAAGGGGTAAACCACACCTACTTAGAGTGTCGCTAAGCATTGTCTTCTATGGCATGGCGTGATTTGGCTTTGACTCCTATCTTTACCGGGGAGATTGAACATTCATACAATTCTGGAAGGACACGGCAAACGGCTGAGCAAAAATCATGATGATTTGAGTACTCTGGCGCCAAGCATTGGGGCACAAATGTGAAGTTGGGTAGATAAGTAACATCAGCTGGCCCTACTTATCCAATCTACTTAGAAACTGTGC